TTCACAGTTCTATATTTCAACACTGCAATCATCTACTCTGGAATCAACTTACTCACTGTCTGTATAAAAATAACTTTTCTAACTAGAAATATCATTAAAATGATATTACTCAAAAATGTTGAAATTGTAGATAGTCATTCTGTCAACTGAAAGGCTCAGAGAATGAAGTTCTGTGGTTCATAAAAGTAGATGGAGTGACTAGATTTTTATTGCCTACCGTCGATATAATAAATAGACTTTTTGTAATATCAATGGTCTTAATGATTTGTTATCAGTAAGCTTTATTTTCGTTTAAAATAATTTTCGGACTGTAAATGATAAAACATATAAAATAATCTTTTATATTTAATTTTGAAATTGCGAACTTTACACGACCAAAAAGAGGGAAAAAGTGGACTTTTGTGTTACATATCCTTCCAACTCGAACACTTACTCTTTTTCGAACACACGCAACAGTATTAGCTTGCAGTTGTAACCTTCGATTTTATATTTCTTCATAAATTATTCATAAAAAATGTTTCTCTATCAATAAAATGACATTACGATAGATAGATTTATTTACTTATCTTCATATCTTTTCTCAATAATCTAATCAGAAGCTGATACAAGTTATTCAACATGTCTAATTAACGCATTCTCTGAACGTTATCATTACTTGTGAGCAGTAACGGCCTATATAGTAAGCTAGAGAAGCATCGGGGCATGGCTGCATCCCACCCTTGCAAGTAGGACAACAAAATAATGTTGGTTTTTTGAAATCAAAAAGTGGAAACGAGGGACACACCGACAGTATCAGTCACCACCGTCCACTAGCACATGTATTAAGCTACAGTAGCTTAATATATGTGCTAGTGGACGGTGCTGAGACTGTCGGTGTGTCCTGAGGTATCGAGGGTTTATTTTAAGAGTTTGAAGAGGATCCTATTGTTAACTTATAAAAAACCGGGATCGAAACGTCGAATAAACACAGAACCAATGAGAACATTTAGTAGTTTATTGAATTACTAATAAGTGAACTTATCCCCAATAAAATAATTATGTTAAAATATAATAATCAAAGGTGGATTGAAAATTTTTTTTTTAAATAAGCGATAGTTGAGGATGGATATCTCGGAAACTAAGCGAGAAAGCTAAAAAAGTTATATAGTCAATCATATGAAACATTTTATCAGCTTTAATTATGTATAGAACGTCTTCGTTGCTGCGATGGATAATTTTCTTGATATAAGTGAAAAACCGAAAAAAGTGACCTTATATGCGCCCACCTCCTCCCAAATTTCGCTCACCAACTAGGAGTGGGAACTTTTAATATGTATACCTCCTTACTAGTCCAAACAATGTCCCAAAGTCGAAAATTGTGTCCACGCCCTTTCCTTTTATAATCATTCATTGACTGGACTGACTACATGCATGCAGAGATATGTTATGTAACATCTACTGCATATCGATGGCCTCATTACCAGAGTCCGGATTTTTATGCATTTGTGTTTTCAGCTTTTAAACTGCCGATCAAGTATCTGTACGAATCAGTGTACTCAGATGCAATCAGCCAAATTTTATAATGAATATATCTGCACATTTGACAATAAATGAACGCAATTCCATGTTCTAATTAATTATAATAAGTAAAAACAAATAAATAATAAAAAAATAAATATGCCTTCAATAATTGAAACCTTTTGAATTTTAAAAAAACCGCGTGTTACAATTTCAAATTGTAATCGATTTCAGTTTCATTTTGTTTATCTGTATCAAACATTTCCAATAGTGAGCCAATTCGAATCAGTTGAATCGATGTTAAAACACTGTATACTCATTTCACCACATTAACTCGCATAATTCATGAAAATTGGATTAACCGTAGTGATGTGGCTATCACATGTTATCGACTACAGACAGAGAGATACAGAACCAAATTTGTTCCTTGTCACATGAACGCGAGTAGAAATTATCAATTTCGGAGACAAAACAATTTGTTAAACGCAAAGCTTCCTTACGTACAATAGTGAGGAAGCAAAAAATACAATTTCCGGAATTTTTTTTTTTTAGCTTTTAGATATGATTGCCAATCAAATTGTGAAAATATCAGTTATGAGGTTATCATGTAGATTATCGATTATTAAATAATTAATACCGACATCACGTTTTCACAATCTTTTTGATTTTCTTTTAAATATTTGAATCTTGATCCATTCACGTAATTAATAAACAGCATAATGTCATTTCATTCAATCCTGTTAATCAAATAAATTATCCAAATCGCAAAGATATTTACTATTTATAACTATTTACACATTCACATATTAAATTTGGTGTTTCATATTTACTTGTTCCATTTATCATTTATACAGTTGTAAATTTCAATAATAAAAAAAAATTGGTGTTTGATATCATTTTCTTCGATCTGAAGTAAGCAATATTGATGTTGATACTTCTGGTTCATACAGTGTTCTGGTGCAAAGGTCAAATTGTAGCCATTATTATTTTATTTTTTCACCTTATCCTGCCAATTAGACAATGAGAATGTTTGTAGTAATGGCCGGTCCAGAATTAGTTTTTCGAGGTGTAAATATCAGAATTTATGAGCAATATTACCTTGTCTATATGAGATATTAAAATAAATCTTCAAGCTTACACTGAGGAAGAGCGAACAAGTTTAGAATATCGCCAAATATCGCCATTCGGTCTTGCGGGTTCAGAATTCCTCAATAGACAGCAGAGGTGAAAAATTCGAATCTTTTAACTAATTCGATTCTCAATGATTCAATCATTGTAATGAATCAATTCTTATGAATGATTCTTCGATTGATTCTTTTCATCTTCTTTTTGTCTTTAAATTAAAAAAGAACTTTTTATCGAAAAAAACAAAACAGTAACAAACATTGTCAAGCCTTAAGGTTATTCAGGCAAAAACATCTTTTTTTTAATTTATTGAAAATAAAATTTCCAAATATATACAAATAAAAAGTCATGAATCTTATTAGGAAGGAATTTTAATTTGGACAGGCAAATTTTTTTAATTTTTATTTTACACATTAGATTTTGTTCTGTGTATATAAATTGTAAATGAAATGAAATATAATTTAATTATCCAGGGACTGATGAACTTCTGGAACAAATTATAAATACAAAATAAATAAAACGTAAATAGGTAATTAAAAACAAAGTACTAGATAAAAAAAACACAGTACATGTATATATATATATATATATATATATATATACATATATATAGGCTATATATATATATATATATATATATATATATATATATATATATATATATATATATATATATATATATAAATAAAAGAAACAGAGAAAAAAAAAGTAGTAATATAAATAAGCGAGGGTTATAAATGTCCGAAGTGGTAGAAGAAGAATAGTGGTAAAGAAGAAGTGGTAGTGAAAAGGATGAGAATAGGTCATACTAACCTCATTTAATCACAGAGACCTAACCATATTTTAATACCTCCCAGTCCCCGCTAACTATAAAGCACACAATAGAAGATTATACAGTACTGCATCAAGCCTTTGTAAAAAAACAAAATACCCCGTTGAAGAGAACTAGCATTAAAAGACTCAGGAAATTCAAAAGAAAATATAAAGATTTAAAAAAAAAAAAAAAAATTGTACCATAAAATATGAGAATAAATGGAATGCGTAAAAATAAACAATAAATTACCTATAGAACGTATTACTTATTAAAATATATATTGAGTATAACTGCATATACCTAGTTCTGCCATACTGTTCCAAAAGTTGAACTTTGTTTACATCCTTAAGTATAGTTTAGATAATCCTTACCTCTATCAGGACAAAGGCTAACCACTTCCCTAAAAACAATTAGAGTGGATACATGCAAAATGCTCCTTGGCCGTTACACCAATGGTCTTCAGAGAGACCTGGTTCTGGCCGTGAAGCAGTGCAGTTCGGATCCGTGATAGTTTTCGATTTTATATGAATAAGTTCAAAGTAAAGTAATTTGAAAAAAAATTTGTGACTAGTGGTTACCATATCTATTAAGGAACACTATATTTCAATTTTGTGATAATTTGTGAAGTGGCTGCGGAAAAATAAGGTAAAAATACTTTCATCTAGATTCCTTATTCCAGACAACTGGTACAAGCAGAAGTTAGATAAGTAATAGTGTAATATGTGTAATAATAGTGTAATAAGTACGTGCTGTAATATGTTAAATATACATCAGATATCATAGCCGGTGTGATATCTCCTCCACATATCTCATCAGCTGGTGAATAGAACTGAGACAAATTTATCTGTCAAGGATATTTCATATTGCCGGAGACAAGGGAGAGGTCAGGCTGCTAGGCCAATTTTAATTTCATTTGTTAGCCATGAAAATGAAGGGACAAAATGAATTTGTTAGAAAAGAGGGATAAGCTCAGTGAAATTAATTGTTCTATAGCTCATGACGGAACGATATTGGGTAGAAAGAGAAGAAAAGATTTGAATGAAGCTTAAAAAAAGGTACAACAAATAGATGACAAACCTGTTATTATTAAAACTATGATCAAATTTAGAGGTACCCTATATTCCCTTGATGAAGTGCATTCCATTTTAAGCCCACCAGATTTTCAAAAATTTACTGATGAAAATTTACCAACGTATGATGAAAATGCTGGTAAAAGTAAAGCCAAAGACAAACTAGTGTCATTTCGTTTTCGCCCCAGAACATCTTCTCACTGATAATAATCCATAAAGATAAAATCAACTGGTCTTATCACTCAGAATGCATCTAAGGAAAACGTTTCGTCAAGTTCAAGGAATCATTTTGAGAATGCCTCACAGTTACAGAAAGAAGAACAATCGGTCGAAATTTTAGCTTATAATATTTATGGCTTAAAAAGTAAAAAGGATGATTTAATTTTTTTTCAATATATTAAAAAAATTGATGTAATATGTTTATTCGAGACTTTTGTTGAGGATAAGGATCAGCCAAGGTATGGACATCTATTTAATGATTTTTACACAGTATGGATGCCGGGTATAAGAAATGCTGCATGTGGTAGAGTCTCAGGCAGTAGTTTATATGGTGCGAATTTAAAAAGTCCTTTTAAAAACTATATGGAATCTTGAATAACCATTTAGTCATCTTAAGTTTATATGCCTGTTTATTTAAACTGTGATATCTGAAGAAGGGATTATATTAGCTTATACGAATTCCCCTCTGAGGTAAATAATTTAAATGTTTGTTTCTTGAGGATTTTAATTCTAAAGTGTTAAGTCAACAAGTATTGTCCAAAAAATATACACATTTTAATCCGAATATTGAATGTTTATCTATTTACATCTAATGGCTTTTAAATCCTAATTTACTATCTAATTATATAACAATTTTTATCGTCATGACACAATTCAGAAGAATGAATTATTACAAAGGATCATAAATATTAATGTTTAATACAAAATTATCATCTAGGAATAACGATGACGGACGGCCCACTGTGGAAGGAACAAAGAGCATTTGCTTTCAAACATTTGCACGAGCATGGGCTAGGAACCCAAAAAATGGATGATATGCTACAAAGACAATTACAGGTAGGTAGTAAAACAAAATTAAAAAAAAAAAAAAAAAAATTTAAGTAATATTTTTTTCTTATTCAAAAAATTATTGATTAAATAAGGAAAAAAATCAATGCATTCCAATTCATGCATTTAATTGTTCATGCTTTTGATTCGGTAAATTTAGATAAATTTTTAATTCTGTCAACTCTCGATAACTGAAATTGAGAGAAAATACAACGACTGAGCAGTAATTTTGAAAATCTTCTCTTTCAGGTGGGAAAAATAGTCACATTCCCTCATAATTTAAGGGGGGGGGGAGAAGTTATGAGGGAAAAGAATCTTTAATTGCAAATAACACAAAAAGTATGCATTTTTTCTGGATTATACCTATAATAATTAGAAAGATTACTAAATTACTTACAAAACGAAAAAAATAAATAAATAGGGCAATTAGCAACAAAGATATAGCCCGTTAGTTTTGGTATACTTAATAATTTCTTACTTCTTAAAGACTGCATTTACTATTCTACTACACTTTTTATCCTGACTGATATATATTCCATTATTTCTTAAAGGCATTTTTTGTTACTACATTTTTTAATTTTTAATAATTTAGAAAATTCTATGATCGAGGCTTTATTTTGAATATTACCTTTCCAGTCAGCGTTTGAAAATAGGCTCTAGCAAAGCAATGTGTACAAATATTTTAGTCTATTATGTTGAATGGAATATTGTAATCGACCGAGGAAAAACAATTAATTCTTCCCTCACAAAATACGTAGAATTTACTTATTTTCATATGGTTTTTACACACATTTACTAAAAAAAATTGCCTGCGAATTATTCGCACGGCCAATTATTGATAAGTTCCTTAACAGTCCTCTTCCGACTTCCTTCGTCCTCTTCACTATTCCAAGGTATATTTACCTCCATGAGAATTATTCATGCAGTTACATTCTTGTGAGAAGCCCTAGATCCATGATCTTGATGTCATATTCTTGTATGAGACCTGGAGTTAACTCTTGCAGTGAACCCATATATTTATAGTATAATTCAGTATATAAGATGCCATATGTAACAGAAATTATTAATAAAAGTGCTCCTTCTAAATTCCTCACTGTCTGCCATAAAATAAAGCTATTCACGAAGTATTAGACGGATCTAAGAAAATTGATGAAAAGGTTGTGTCGCGTATTGATTTGTCACGTTCTAAACGTGTAAATAAAATCAAAGAATTTGAAATAGAGATGAAAGATAAATACATAAATAAAAAAGATTAATGAATTACGGTGAGATTTTGAGCCGATGAGGTAGGGTTTATCCACTCCTGATAAATAACTAAGCCAGCTAATCCCCAATAAATATAAATTCAACTAAGCTTTTAACTATAAATATGTTTGGTAAAATTAGAGAAATTTCTGGAAAAGGAGATTAAAATGTGTCTCATAAGTCTATGTGAAGATATTAATATTATTAAGTTTAGAAGAGCATTTGGAGAGAATGTTCAGCAGCGAGATTAGTGCCAGCAATCCGGAGAGTCTCAGATAAGTTACAAGAAGAAGAGCAAAATGTTCTTTCAAAGGATAAGATACGAATATTCTTTAATGAATTAAAAATATTTGCGCTCGTTATACTATGGTCGATAACAATCGAGGTTATTGTGAAGCTGCTACATAAACCTAGGGCAGATTAAGTGATAGAAGGACTGGGGTTCTTGCAAGGGGTCCCGTTTGGCCAAAATTGAGTAATCATGTAAGAGAATCATTTCAAATATGGCTTATAAAAGTGCATACCATTTTAAGTAATGAGGCTGTTTTATATTCCAAATCCGCTTAAAAATGACATCGATGGACCGCTGATTGAAGTAAGAAGATAAGAGTAAGAGCATAAGTGAATTTTATTTCTAGAGGAAACCACATATTATAAACCTTTAAACAACCATTTTCTAATTTCAAAAGAAAAGAATTCTGGTCCTTATTCTTGTGTTACTAGCTTATAAGCAACCAATGAGTACGTTATGTACTTAAATATGGAGCTCTCATTTTGTTAGAGTAACGTTTCATTCCTTAAGCCGACCGGCCACCGAAAGCGCAGCGGAGCTGAGTTGAGCGTCGTAGCAAGGGCCAGCTCTGCTCAGTCTTAGGTCGACCGAGGATCGGTTTTGGAAGCTTACTCCGTGCTCTATATATATATATATATATATATTTTAATGTTATCCGATTGCTTTCACTGCAACCTCTCAAATTATTTATTTTGGTTCAGTGTAAAATATGCAATGGATGTGGAAGAATTTTTAATCGAATATTTAAGGGAAAATATTCGATTTTATACACAAATATTAGATTTTTCTTTTTCAACTGCAACATGATCAACATTGCTATTTTCTAAAAATGTTACATATGCTATATATACTTTTTAAAAATTTTGTACGGAATATAAGAAAGGTACCGACGCAAGGTAAGTTGCTGACTGATCTAAGCTCCGCTACGCCATCGGTTGCTGACCCCCTGTTGGGTTACTCAGCACATGTCATCTACGCTCAATTGCGCTCAGCAGCGCTTTCGGTGGCCGGTCAGCTTTATCCTCTACTTTCTGGACCCGTTGTAGCACATCATTTTTTGATAATCCTTTTCTTCTTTGAACATCTCTGATCTTGGTTTATTCTTAAGACATTTCTTCTGTCATGTCTGTCCTTAGCTATTTTTAAAACCAAAAAATCTGGCTTTACTAATTCTTTTGGAGTAGGTATTTAATGTCATGCCTTATTCATTTATGAGTTTTCCTTGAGCTGAGGCTTTTGGAGATATTATCAGGTTACCAATATCTTTAATTTTTATCGTAGCTTCCTAGCAATTTCTACCATTTCTAGGTTACTTGAGTTAAAATGGCCTCTTTTTTTAAACTTTCTTAGAATTCAAGTATGTTTCTAGCCTTCTAGCTGTCTGTTCAATAGCTAGTTGTCTCTTTGAGGAATTATATCATTTTGTTCTTCTTATTATTACTACTTCTTCAGTCAAGTGTGTTTTGACAAATACTTTTTCCAGCATTTCTTTGTTGGGTTTAGTTATAGTGGATTTTTTTCTAAAGGGAAATTAGTTTAGAATCTGTTTTCATTAGTTTTTCGCTGTATCCTCCAAGCATTGATCATTCGAAACCCTTCGATTCCAAGATTTCGAATTTATTCTGCACTTTTCTTTGTTATAACTCTCTTAACATTTAGCGTCGGTTTTATATCAAGATATAATTTGATTCTGATCACTTTGTTCACATGTATATATATTATCAGTACGTGTTATTTCTTAATATATTAATTTTTTTACTTTTATTTACCTGTATTTTTATCAAGTAAAGGATGATTTGTAAATGGTTTTAGGAAAGATTCATGTTATCGAGAGTCGACTATGTTTTTGTTATTATTATTGTTAATTAGCGTTATTTGCAATTGATTTAAGGAAATGCTGTCTAAACTGAATGAAGGTGTATTGAGCAACCTTGTTTTGAAACAATATGTTTCTAAATGTGTATTGAATGTATTATGGGAAATGGTTACTGGATCTTCATTTCAAGACGAGGAAACAATGACATCCTTAATATCCCTGATGGAAGCACGTTCGAAGGCGTTTGACATCAGTGGTGGTCTCCTTTCGCAGTTCCCATGGATTCGATACATATTTCCTAAGTATTCTGGCTATAATTTGATTCAAACTTTGAACAGAAAATTTAAAGAAATGATTATGGTAAATCGATTAATTTATTGAAATACTTAGGAATTTGCAATTACTTCTTTTATAATTGTATGATAATTTTTAGGGAATAATTGAACATCATAAAAAAACCATTGTGAAAGGTCATTCACGTGACTTTATCGATGCTTTTCTTCATGAAATGAATGAAAATCCAACATCGAGCTCTTTTACTGGTAGAGTATTTATAATTTCAAAAAAATAATTGATTGATCAATCTAATCTTTTTTGTTTATACTTGAACTTCTTTCATTTCAGTAGCCCTTATTATACTCCTTTTCCACAGACGAACAGCTGGTTATGGTATGTCTAGATTTCTTCATTGGCGGTTCTCAGACTATAAGCGGCACTCTTGACTATTGTTTTCTTTATATGACGATGTATAAAGATGTACAAGAGAAAGTCCAAAAAGAACTTGATGATATATTATTACCTGGTCAATCTCCATCCAGGAATAATAAAAATAAGTAGGTAAAATAACTAATAACTTGCAATGTTTTTTAATAATACATGTGGTTACATTCCTTTTCCATTCCAATTTTCTGCCGAATACCTCGTGGTCACTTTTTTTTTTTCCCCTTTCTGGCATTTTTGCCATACGAGGTTTCGGCAGCAGTTGGTTAATACATAGGGAATACTTATGTATATTTCTGCCAGTAAGGCTCTTTATTTTATTTTATTTTCATTCAATTTTAATGGTTGAATACTGTGGTGTGGAAAGAAGGGCTGCCAAGACTATTGGTAGGAAGACGAAAAGAATGATGGAAAGGAGCAAAGTGGAAATGTTACAAACTGAATGGGAAACAAAACAGTCCAGAATGTTTTACAAGGGGAACAGATAATTTAAACATGGTTTCCAACCAAGGACAGGTTTTTACAAAGATAGAGAAGGTAAGATGGTGGGAGGAACTGCAGAGGTATTGGATACTTGGCGACAATATTTCCAGGAACTTCTGAATGGAGATGAAAACACAGTGAGAAATGTGCTGCATGGGCGTACACAAGAGGAATTGCTGAGTGGCGAAGATGACGTGGAGCCTCCTGATTATGAGGATTTCGTGGAAGTGGTTGAAAACTTAAAAACAATAAAAGCCCTGGATATGATGGCATTGACGCTGAAATATTGAAATATGGTGGAGAGGATCTACTAAAGAAAGTATACAACTTGTTGTTGGAGGTATGGATCGAAGAAAAAATACCGAAAGAGTGACGGTAGCTATTATCTGTCCAGTTTTCAAAAAAGGAGATAGAACTAAATGCGAAAATTATAGAGGTACATCTCACCTGGGTGTAATATATAAGGCATTTTCCTCGCTCCTAAATAAAAAATAGAAAGTTACAAGTATGGTCTGAACGTATTCTTGGTGAGTATCAATGCGGTTTCAGGCAAAATAGATCTACAATTGACCTAATATTTTCCGTCAAACAGATGCTGGAAAAATGCAATGAATATAATGTAGATCTTCATCATATTTTCATTGATTTTAAACAGGCTTATGATAGTGTCAATAGAGGCGAGTTATTAAAAGCAATGGTAACTTTAGGTGTGCCGAAAAAGTTATTTAGATTAACAAGGATGACACTGACTAATGGTAGTTGTAAAGTGAAGATACAAGAAGCACTATCAGAAAAGTTTGCAGTTGAGGACGGCCTAAGGCAGGGAGACCTCTTGTCCCCAATTCTTTTCAACCTAGCCTTACAATATGCTGTACGTGCTATTCGGACAAGCCCTCATGGCACGATATATAATAGATTGTCACAGCGTCTAGCCTATACAGATGACGTGGTAATATCAGCTAGATCAAGAGCATCTTTATTGGGAACATTTGAGGAGTTCGGATAAGTAAATGGAAAAGATTGTATATATGAAGTCAACAAGAAACACACCAGAAAGAATGGAAGAAATGATTGAATTTGAAAGCCACACCTTCAGGATAGCAAACCAGTTAAATATTTGGGTGTTCTTGTCACATCAAAGAATGAATACCAAGAAGAAATTAAGGCAAGAGTAGCTGCTAGAAATAGGTGCTATTACGCTCTTCAAAAACCATTAAAATTTAGAGGCCTGACCAACATAGCTAAGGTCATATTATATAAAACAGTCATTAGCCAGTTGTATCCTATCGCTGTGAGACTTGGGTACTTTCCAAAGAAAGTGAAAGAATGTTAAAAGTTTGGGAAAGGAAAGTACTCAGGAGAATATATGGACCTGTCTGCGAGAACGGCAACTGGAGAATAAGAAACAATGAGGAATTGAAAGAAATGGTCCAAGAACCAGATCTTGTTTCTTTTGTTAGAAAGAATCAGTTGAGGTGGCTGGGGCATGTAGAGCGGATGCCGACGAATAGGATACCGAAAAAATTACTGGATAGTAAGCCTGGAGGGGAAAGAGTTCGAGGACGTCCACGATTAAGATGGTCAGATGGAATGGAGAGAGTGTTGAGAGAGATGGGAATCAGAGGATGGAGGAGACTCGTCCAGGGTAGGGAAGAGTGGAGGAGGATTGTAGAGGAGGCCCAGGCCCTTGTAGGGCTGTAGCGCCATGGAGTAATACACATAATTAAAAAAAAGCCAATGTTCCCACAAAAAAAAGTGAACGCACTACCCCAAAATGGCGTCCAAAGATGGCGGATTGACGACTTTGACTTTAGTTAGTTTTTTGGTCACTGAGAATCAGCATTTGGCTTAATTTCCTCATAGTTGGTCTTTTATTAAAGCTGAATAGTCATAGAATAATAAAACATGAAGAAATATAAAAAAATAATTGGCTTAGGCTATGAAAAACACCAGTAAAGTAAACTTTTTTAACAAAAAAATTTTCAAGTTACAAATCAAGCGTCGTTTGTAATTAAACGGTCAACAATAACGCAAAACGTGCTGAAATAAACCATCTGTAGAATATATTTCTCTTTCTAAAACGCTGATTACTTTTTAAAATATTTGAAGCAGTTCCGTAGAAAATACACTTATGCGGCAGAAAAGCGGTACCGGCGTGGGTGCCTACAGGCCTCTACCACACCACTCAGTGCCCATAAATGGCTTAGTTATAGTGATATAATAACATTTTTAGTACATTATATTGGTTTAATTAACGAACAAATATTAATGCAATAATTTAACTGTAAAAAATAAATAAATAAAATTTAAAAAAAAATTATTATTTTTTTTTAATTTAACTGCCTTTATTCTATACGTAGGTCGTTTAAGAAGAACTCAATTGTAAAAATGATATAATTATAATAATAAAACTTAATTAAAAAATACTTTGCTAAATATCTTGATTTTTTTTTTATTTAACGTTTGCAATTTAACACTGAGTTTGGTATATTTACTGAATCTTAGAGGTAATTATAATTTTTATATATTTCCCAGGAAATGAGTCATATTAATACCTGTTTTATAAACTAAAATAATATATACCTAATCTGAACTATATTTAATGAATAGCTGGCGGGTTGTTTAGTAAAACTCATATATCACTAATTAAAAAATTAATTTTTATTTTATAATTTTTATTTTCATAATTTTTTATTTCATAATAATTCCTTCTCATAATTTTTATTTCCTTTATTTTGTGTGGATGTTGGACTATATCATGAATAAATAGGAAATTTTAATATTAAACGAATTATTCTCTCTGCACAAAGAAAGATAGAAAGGGTAACGCTATAAGTTCTTCTATAAACCAGAACTGATTGTTTGTTTTTGATCTCAAATTGAGGAAAAATGCGAAATTGAACCAGAAAATTGGAAAAATACATTAAGCGAACGAGAAAGGAAGTGCCAAAACCTCGGAAAAGATAAAAATCACCAATATCCATTATATAGCTAAATGAATCTATAGTAGACAGATGAACAGAATATTTCAAGATGCTGCTAAAAGGGGATCGATTGCAGTTTGGATGATATTAAGTGGACGATGTAGGTTTATAATGGTGAAAACCACTTTATTTTCGATTGCTACTGAAGGTGCACACTGGGACTATCTACACTTTGAACCAGGATATAGAGAGGTATATCGAGAAAGTTATCGCTCATAGCTCTCCTTCTGTTTGATGCATTTGCTAGAGATTTTTTAAGGAATCTTATATTAGTCATAGCTCGTTATTGTTCAGAAATTTCGGAATAAATTGTTCGGAATTTGTACTATATAAAAAAATAGGAAATTTTAATATTTCAATGCATTATTCTCTCTGTACAAAGAAAGATGGAAAGGGCGAAACCCAACTGCTTCGCACAGTTTTGAGCGTACATAGGCTCTAACAAGTATAATAGAAAATGATATAAAAGGACTGTATTTTTTATCTTTACAAGAAAGGAGATACTAGGAAATGTAATACCCACCAAGATACATTCCTGTTTAGTGTACCAAAGAAACTATACTCAAGAATCGTAGAAGCTGGAATAAGAAATATTGTCGATTGCCAGAGCGATATGGATTGAGAAACTCAAGTTGCACATTGGAAGAGAAGTTGAAAATTGGGACTGTCTTCACTTATAGAGAAGTCCATATAAAATGAAAAATAGCTCTCTATCTGCTCAGTGCCTCACGCTTTGGATTATGCTAATATCTAATTGTCTTTCAGAAAAGCTCGTTTTCCTTTTAGATTCCTTAAAAAATCGTTTGCAAATGCACTAAACAGACTAAACTTTCTCGATATACCTCTCCATATCCTGCTTCAAAGTGTAGATAGCCCCAGTATGGACCTTCAGTAGCAATCGAAAATAAAGTGGTTTTCACCATTATAAACCTACATCGTCCACTTAATATCATCCAAACTGCAATTGACCCTCTTTTAGCAGCATCTTGAAATATTCTGTTCATCTGTCTACTATAGATTCATTAAGCTATATAATGGATATTGGTGGTTTTTATCTTTTCCGAGGTTTTGGCACTTCCTTTCTCGTTCGCTTAATGTATTTTTCCAATTTTCTGGTTCAATTTCGCGTTTTTCCTCAATTTGAGATCAAAAACAAACAATCAGTTCTGGTTTATAGAAGAACTTATAGCGTCACCCTTTCTATCTGTCTTTGTGCAGAGAGAATAATTCATTTAATATTAAAATTTCCTATTTATTTATGATATAGTCCAACTTCCGCACAAAATAAAGGAAATAAAAATTAATTTTTTAATTAGTGATATATGAGTTTTACTAAACAACCCGCCAGCTATTCATTAAATATAGTTCAGATTAGGTATATATTATTTTAGTTTATAAAACAGGTATTAATATGACTCATTTCCTGGGAAATATATAAAAATTTTAATTACCTCTAAGATTCAGTAAATATACCAAACTCAGTGTTAAATTGCAAACGTTAAATAAAAAAAAAATCAAGATATTTAGCAAAGTATTTTTTAATTAAGTTTTATTATTATAATTATATCATTTTTACAATTGAGGTCTTCTTAAACGACCTACGTATAGAATAAAGGAGGTTAAATTAAAAAAAAATAATAATTTTTTTTTAAATTTTATTTATTTATTTTTTACAGTTAAATTATTGCATTAATATTTGTTCGTTAATTAAACCAATATAATGTACCAAAAATGTTATTATATCACTATAACTAAGCCATTTATGGGCACTGAGTGGTGTGGTAGAGGCCTGTAGGCACCCACGCCAGTACCGCTTTTCTGCCGCATAAGTGTATTTTCTACGGAACTGCTTCAAATATTTTAAAAAGTAATCAGCGTTTTAGAAAGAAAAATATATTCTGCAGATGGTTTATTTCAGCACGTTTTGCGTTATTGTTGACCGTTTATTACAAACGACGCTTGATTTGTAACTTGAAAATTTTTTTGTTAAAAAAGTTGACTTTACTGGTGTTTTTCATAGCCTAAGCCAATTATTTTTTTATATTTCTTCATGTTTTATTATTCTATGACTATTCAGCTTTAATAAAAGACCAACTATGAGGAAATTAAGCCAAATGCTGATTCTCAGTGACCAAAAAACTAACTAAAGTCAAAGTCGTCAATCCGCCATCTTTGGACGCCATTTTGGGGTAGTGCGTTCACTTTTTTTTGTGGGAACATTGGCTTTTTTTTAATAAATTGTTACAAGGAACACAACGATATGCAATTTATAGGGATGTGGAGGGGGGTGCACGGTAAGGGGGTCTGGCCCACAGACTATAAGTATAATGTGGTGTGGCCTAGTGCATTTGTGTGCGCCTTACTGATGGGGCCGCACTTTAGTCTCCAGCTGGTTGCGCATCCTGTCCTCCTTGGTTGCTTCATGCCACTAGTGGATCCAGAATTTAATTTTGGGAGAGGGGGGGGGGCTTCAGCCCGAAAGATTTTTTTTTATATACATTAATAATATAAGATAACAATAATTAATTAGGAAAAAAAGAAAGAAATTAACAACCTGTGTAAAATGGTGTTTAAGTGGTTCTTGAAGTCCTATTAAATATAATTACACGAACAAGAATACTTTAAGAGATAGTTTTTAATATTTTTTTCTGTAAAACATGGTTATATTTATGATTCGGGCTTCAGCCCGAAAGCCCCCCTCGTAGATCCGCCTGTGCTTCATGCTGAGGCAATTCATGGAGAAACATCAAGCCGTTTCCAGATACATTGAACTAATATTTATACATCTAGAGAAAACGTATGGCAGTACACCTCGAAGACTATTATGGCATGCCCTCAAAATGCAAACAATGGGCCAATTTTCAGCAGAAAAATAGGAAATCCAAGTTTTGAGGGTTTTTTTTTAGACAGTCGTGTTTTTTTGTTGAATAGGAAGCGATAACTAAAGAAATATTTATTTGAAGTAATTAACTATTACTTCACTGTAAACTAGACAAAATTTACTTTAATGAAGAGAGTTTGTCATTATTAAAACTATTTAAAGAAGAAAATTGTGCGCCTAAACTAAGCTAAGTTCTGGTAAAAAAAAAAAAATTCATAAATTATTTGCGTTTATTGCCAAGTATACTGTAGTTACCCCACTTGAAGAGAAACTACCTCGTTTAATAAGTTTTAATAACTACCTCGTTTAATAAGTTTTAATAACTACCTCGTTTAAGTTTATATTAATTAAATTGAAGTTTATTAGGCCAAAACTTCAGATTTGCCTCAAGCTGTGTAAAGAAATTATATGATTTTCTATCTCATAAAAGTACTTGTCTTTACACCAAAAATGACTACAATTAAGTGTTGCAAAGCTTTTATTTATTATTTTTCCATAATCTGAGATGTAGTCTAATAAATTTAATTGCCTAAATATATATTTTATTTATAAAAATAAAAAATTTAAAATAACTATTTTTCAAACATTTATTTATGTACAGTGGTTATGAAATAGTATTTTTCTTCCAGACCTCTGTCATAGGAGTTAATCCGTATTTATAAGTGACAACCTTAATGTTTCTAGCCCTAAAATTACGTTTCCATAAAAATAATTGTAGCAATTAGTTGGTTTCTTTATTTTAAACGTCAATTTTATTGCTCCTATCAAAATTTCTCTCTACTTACGGGACACCCTGTATAATACATTAAATACAGAGCCTTGTCTCTCTAAAATGCAGTCAATGAATGAAATAATCCATCAACGTTTCACCAATCCAGACGTAGCCAGGACAGAAAAGAAAAGAAACACAAGATTAAACCTCTCGGTGACACCTAATTGCATACTATTGTAATAATGTTTTTTTTTTTTTTTTTTTTACTGATCATGCTAACAACCATTCTTCTCTTCAATTTATAAAAGTCAAACAACTATAAATATATTTCAAGTGATATAATTTAATTTAAAATTAATATTTTTTTATTTTTTTAGGTGTCCATTTGTAGAAGCTGTAATATCAGAGGTTCTCAGGATATCTCCTATCATATCACTTCTTGGACCAAGGAGAACTACATGTGATACTTTTCTCAGTGGTTATTTCATACCAAAGGTGCACAATTTCGAAAACAAAAATAGTTGTATTTATTTATAATTATTTAATTTTTTTCAATTCTCGAATTTATGCCGTATAAATTCACTGACATAGACCGAGGTCAAGGGTACAGTTTATTGAATATTTAATTTGAAATATTAAAAAAAATTCTAACATTGCTGGCGGTTCCCAGCATTACCGCTTTCTGGATTGCCTTAAGTTTCCAGCTTAATCCAAGTACCTTCAATGATTTCCGAGTCTTCAGGAATTAGGCAATTGTTGAATACAATAATGGGTAGTACTTTTACTTCCACCAGCCGGCATACCTGCCTTAATTTCTAGCATAGCACTTGATACTTCCGATTTTTTTCACATTACGTTTTAGCTACATTATCATCAACAGGAACGCCAACTTCGTCATCCATATAAAAATAATGAGAAATTGTTGTTTTTGATTCAGGAAATAACATTTTCCATAAGATAAATAAAAGCAAAACTAAAAGTAAAACTGAAGCTACACTACTTGTTCACATGAAAATAAGTAATTGTTCGTCACAGTTACATGAATCTGTATTGGTAATATGAAATCTTTTAAAATAATTCTTAGAAGGTCCGTGCTATATCAGAAATTGTGTCAGGTTGTAATGGGTATTTTTTATTTTATTACAGTTTTGTGGCTTTGTATGCATTTGTGAAAGGGTCGTTCTTTGTAGATAGTTGCTAGTGTCTGTCCCAGTCTCGGGTTTAGTCAGTTCTAATGGATTTTCTAATGTAGAAAAGAGGCACTGTAGTCAATTGGTAAGCGATTGTCGCTAGCAGCTGATTTGGCTAGGCTGTCAGAGTAATAATAATAATAAGGCTTAGCGAACCCGAAGGTTCGATGCCGATACCACCAATCGGTGGCCACATTCTTCCATCCGCCAGGCTCCGTCTAAACCCAACTCCGCCAAATCAGCCTTAACGCAATCTACCCATCTTCGCTTTGGTCTACCTCTCGGACGCTTGCCAGTCGGTCAGCGCATATTAATTTTTTAGGAATTCTTTCGTTATTGAGTCCAGCGATTTTACATGCTCATTTTATTCACCTCAACTTAATCACCTCAATTACATTAACCGGATACCGTTCATGCAATTCAGCGTTGTGTAACTGCCTAAATTCTGTATACCGCCTAAGGCTGTCAGAGTATAGGTAGGTCGTATATATATATATATATATATATATATATATATATATATATATATATGTATCGAAGAGAAGAATAGTTGGGGTGGTCAGTCAAAAACGAAGGCAAAAATAAATGATAATATTTATTTTTACATATGCCAACGTTTCTACCTGAAGAAAGAACCAGATAACAAGGTATGAGAAACATAAAAATTACAGTAAAATGAAGTTTCAAAGTTCAAAGTTCAAGTTATTTTCAAAGTTCAAAGATTTGTATCAAGTCACTCTTAAAGTTTACCCTGCAGGAAAAGGAGAATGGGTAGACAATATCTCTTCCACAGACATCCCCTCCAAAGTCATTAACATTTTAAGTTTAGGACCTACTTTTTCCAAACCCAACACCTCTGTCAAAATCAATACACAACTCATCACTGACCTCAAATATATTTACGCTGACGATTTTTTCATGTCTTCAAAAGAAAATAAGGAGTTGTCACGCGTTTCCATCTGTAACATTATTTCCAATTATCTCTTACATCCACCGCTTTCCTGTTCTTCCTTTTCTCCTGAATTTTTCAAAGACCTCTCTTTTACCCGATCCTTCTTAAAATCCCATGATAATATAATCATAACCAGGGCTGATAAAGGCAATAAAACTGTTATTATGGACCGAACAGAATATACTGACAAAATGACTCTATTCCTATCAGACCGTTCCACTTACTCTCCTACATCCCGTAATCCCACCTCATCACTAAAAACTAAATTTAACCTACACCTAAAAAATATTTTAAATTCTAAACTCATAAACTACCCTACTTACAGAAACCTGATCTCCTACAATTCAGTTGCTCTCCGTTTTGGATGGACTTCCTCAAATCCACAAATCCGGCACCCCACTCCGTCCGATCACTTCCAAAATTAATTCTCCTTCAGTTAAACTTAGCAAATTCTGACTACCTTCCTTACAAATTTTCAGCCACAACAACCCTTATGATGTACATAACTCATTCCATCTCCGTGAACAGTTACTCTCCTTTACCATTCCAGACAATTTTATTCTTTGCTCCTTCGACGTTGAAAGTTTATTTACGAACATACCCATAGAGAAGGCACTTACTATAATAGACGAAAATTTGACTATCATTGAACCTCACACCTCATTTAACCGCTCCTTACTAGGCTTACCTTACAGGCTACCTTACTTTCCAAGGACAATTTTTTAACCAAATCTTCGGGCTAGCAATGTGTAACCCCCCCTCGCTTCCGACACCTCCAACAACGTTCTCAATGATCTTCTAGACTCCATTATCCTTCTTTACCCAGACGATATTATCTTTATTCGAAAATACGTAGACGACCTCCTCCTAATCATGAATCCAAATAAAATTCCCGATATCCTATCTAATTTTAACTCTTACCACTCCCGCCTCAATTTTACAGTACAACGCCAACTCAATAATTCTCTCCCTTTTTTAGACCTTCTAATCATTAAAAATCCCAACAACACCGTATCCACATACTGGTACATTAAACCAACTTACACCGGTAGACTTCTTAATTTCCATTCTAAACATCCCTACCACCAAAAAATTAACGTTGCTAAAAATCTCATCCACCGTAGTCTCTCCCTCTCTGATCCCCAATTTCATGTTACCAATATCCAACGCATAAAACAGATCCTGCCAAACAATAATTTTCCTCTCCATGTCATTAACAAACCACAATTATCGCTCTTCCTTAATCTCGACTTCCATTAATTCTCCACAACCCATTTCAGCCCGTATATACAGATCTCTAACGTATATTCCTAACCTTTCGAACAACATCAACAAAGTTTTACGATCTACTAACCCAAACTTACGTCTTGCATTCAAATCTCACAACACACTCTCTAAATTATACACATCCTTAAAAGATCCTGTTCCTCTCTCACACCGCTCTCATATCGTTTGCCGTATTCTATGTTCAACCCCCAATTGTTTTTCATCCTATATTAGTGAAACTAAAAATCTCCTAAAAGACCTCATCACCCAACATAAATACTCTGTATCCTCTCGTAACTTAACCGCCTCCAAATTATCCGAACATTCTCTCTCCCTCAATCATACATTTGATTTCGACAAAACATCCATCCTTGCCACAGTTCTTAACCATGATAAACGACTCATTTCTGAAACCCTCCACATCCAGCTTCAACCAGACAGTAAATTTAAAAACGGACAAACAGAACTTATCTTTAGCCTATTCCCAAATTCTGAATTTATTAAAACATCCATAGTTATCCTTTCCTTTTCGCTGACAACTTTATTTATCTATCTATATATATATATATGTGTGTGTAAGTATAGGTGTGTGTGTATGTATGTGTATATGCGTATATATATATATATATATATATATATATATATATATATATATATATACGCATATATATATATATATCATATATATATATGATCTGTATTAATTTCAATTATTCTCCATTATTACTCAATAGTTATTTAATTCGTTTCATTGCCTCTACAGAATTTCTATCAACTATTTAAATGTATTACAAATTTAGTTATAATTTATTTATTTATAATTTATTTATTAGAAATTTATTTTATTTTAAACTAATTTATTGCCTCTTTCTATCAACTTTCGTTTGATTCCTTAATATTTATGAATAATATATCTCTCGTTCTTATTTACGCTTCCGATACGTTAGTTCAAACTTCGTCAGGTAACCGTTGGAGATGACGCCACTATAGATCCCTTCTATCCACATCCCTCCTTCAATAACACGAACATTGCATCTTTTACCTTAGAGCAGTCAGGTGTGTTATCATTTCTCTTACTTATTCTCTTTCTTATTTCAACCTTCTCAGTTTCTCTCCTCCTTCCTTTCATTCCTTTTCTCTGTTTTAACTCTTTATTATTTCATACTTTGTCTGTACATATTGATAGACTTTACTACATCTCAATTTTCTATCTAAATATTCTATTCACTATATCTTAATTTTACTATTTATTTCCATTTCTTATATAACTTCATATTTTTCTGTTTTACATTTTATTCTAAGATTCCCTTTACAATACTTATGTCACCTTTTTGACTACGTTTACTTCATCATTCCACACTTTGTACCTGTTATTATTATTTGTCTCTTGTTCTTACTATTGTCATTATTCTAACAACTTCATTTTACTGCAATTTTTATGTTTCTCATACCTTGTTATCTGGTTCTTTTCTTAGCCCTGATGATGACCTGAACTTCAGGTCAAAACGTCGGCATATGTAAAAATAAATATTATCATTTATTTTTGCCTTCTTTTTTGACTGACCATCCCAACTATTCTTCTCTTCATTATCCACGACAGTCAGCCATTTACCAATTATGAATTTATATATATCATATACATACATTTTATAATATTTATAATTTTCATAATCTATGACATTTTCATTTAATTTTTGTTATTCTAAGAGACATCTGTTACAAGTTAGGAATTTTTTGTTTACAGGACACCACTGTATATCTTAATTTTAAGACTGTCCACGACAGTTCCAAACATTGGGAAGATCCGGGAAAGTTTAAACCTGAAAGATTTTTAAATGAAGAAGGAACAGTTAAACAAGAACAAACCTTGTACAACTTTGGAAGAGGTGAAGCAGATTAAATACACTTTTATGATATACAAGAAACACTTCATGTAAGAGATATATCTTTAATTTTATATTTAATATTCCAGGTAAAAGGCGTTGTCCTGCCGAGGTTCTTGCTAGGACTGCTCTGTTTATACTATTTTCAGGTGTACTACACAATTTAAAACTAGAACCTGCCGATGAGAAAGATCCACTTTCATTGAGGCAGGTTCCAGGAATAACTACATCTGCTGCAGAGTATTATATTAAACTTACTAGAAGACATAAATAGCATCTAATTAAAAATACTTATACTGTCCAAAATAAAAATATAGATTTTCTACTATTAATAATAACTAGCATAACCGGGTTAATATTATGTTAGCCTTAATACATAATTTCAACATAACATTTTCAAAGTTTTAGTAACTATTATTGTACTTTGGTGTAAGTTTTACTAAACATCAAAAACATTTTACATCAAGTATTAATTAATTAATTTATATAATTATCCTGAAATAAAATATAAGTAAGATGTGTTTTTAAAGTGATTATTTTTACCAGTGCAAGTGATATTTTGTGTATTTCGTTATTTGAGAAAAATTTCGTGTTATTAACTCCAGCACACTTGAAACATTTTTTTTAAAACTGAAAACAAATGTTTAAAAAAAATGTAGAATTTAAAATACAGCTAAATAATTGTCATTATAAAGATTATTTTTCTAATTGACTGGGATAAAGAAAAACAGTATCAGTGATTTTTGTAAATCCAGTATAGTGCTATTTTAAATGATATATTAAAAACTATTTGTTATTTAACGTACACTATATATACGGTCCCTAAATATTTACCTAAGTAGGTAAATATTTATTTGGCTAATTATCAAGTTTAATATTTTAGGAAATCTTTCGATCAGAACATTTCCTTTCTAAGGTCAAAAAGCAAGGTTCAAATTCTGGTTCATCTAATAAATTTTCATATGAAAAAATCGTGAATCAGGATTGGATCTGTGCAGGGGTGCCCATTCCCCACTCCCTTCCCTTTCACCCCTCCTCAAAAAAACGTATTATTGCTCCCCTCATTTATATTATTAATATCTATCTATATGAGATTTAATATCAATTTTAGTTTAAGGTATAGTAGATATAATATTTGTTTGTTTCTTGAGAATATTAAAGGCACAATACATTGCAATTACAATCAACAAGTAACATCAGTAGCATTTAGAGAAGACAACGGCTCCTCCCTGCCCTCCTCTGCTTATGCCCATGCCAGGAATTCATTATTATTTTGATTTAAAATATATTTTTCTTCTAAATGAGAATTTCATCTAAAATAATTGCGAGAGCGTTATCAAAAGGGGTTACAATATGGGGGGGGGGAGGACATTAAATTTGAGGATGGAGAGATTAGTCTTTATTTTCTAATTAGTTCCTTTTAGAATGTTGAAACGACCTGTTGATAATGTTTCATAAGTATTTTATTTGTAGCTACTTTATTTTAAATTTATTTCCGTGTCCTATAGCCAAGGACAAGGCATTAGTTGTATTTATTATATACACAGAATAAAGGTACCGCATACCAATATTTCAAACAAGCGGCGTTCCCTTTGTGCTAATGCTGAAACTGGAAAAACAGAAGGCAATGCTCAGCTTGTGTTGAGTACTTAAAATAGTCATATCTGTCGCTCTCCCTAGTATGCGGCGCTCTTAGATATTTTTGTATATACACGCTCAGAGTGCTTTTTTTTTTCTTTTTTTCCTGGTTTAAATTTTCTCTTAAAATTGAAAACTTAATGTTTTCATCCCCCCCCCCCTCCCAAAAAAAATATTCTAACGACGCAACTGTGGGTACCCCTGGATCTGTGGTTAGTTACTCCCTTTTTGCATCTAATCAACCTTAAAACATTATTTCTTGAATTGCTGATCATGGTGTCTCCTATGAAGACGGTTTTAGCGTCTAATTTCTTCAGTTGATCTCCAAAATTTGGTTGGTATCAGTAAGAATACTATTTTAGTGACTTTGGAGAATAGTAGTAAACTATCAGCCACCCGGACTCTTTTCAGAGGTATGTACTTAATGGGAAAGGTGTTAAGCCAGATCCATATCGGTGTTTCAGAACAGTGACCGGTACAATTATTTGCAGCCAATCAAATTTCACTTACATTCGTAAGAAATTCATGGCTAAGATTGCGAGTAAAAAGAAGTTTTCATTCTGAAAATGACAAGCTTCAATAAGAAATGTCCGTAGCTCACTCAATCTTCCCTTCCGTCATCAACCTCTCAGTGTAACCATTCTGAAATAAAGTTTGACATACTTTGTTGGAGGAGCTTGAAGACATAATCGAATTCTGAAATGTATCTTATGTCACTAAAAAATTGAAAAACCACCAACTGAAACTGCTTTTGCGTCGATTTAACCACTGAAAAATATGACATCTTAATAATTGGTGTGATGGTACGAATTCGTCCCTCTTGGTAAGAAAACCGCTTTTAGAATTATAGATGAAGATTTATACGAATAATTGTTTGCGAACTTTTCTTATTTCAAATTTTGTTCGTAAACAATGTTTGCTGTGGCCTTTATTGATCTTCAAATTCAAATTAACTCAGTTATTACTCTAACTTACCTATATTTGGAATAAAAAATGGCTAAAAATAACTTTTGAAAGAATTTGAAAATTAAATAAAGGATAAAAAAATAAAATGCTTATCCAGGTCGAAAATGAATCTCCGAAAATAATAGTCAGAAGGTATACGTATAATACTTCGTTGGAAAGCGGAGAATATCAATATGAATAATATAGCGGATAATACACACACACGCACGCATACTAACACACACACACACACACACAAACACAGACAAGCACGCACGCGCACGCACGCACCCACACACCCACGGACGCACACCCACACGTACACACCCACACACGCCCGCACGCACACACGCACGCACGCCCAGACGCACATTAATGGCGATTCAGCGAAGTTCTCCAACTCACTCATAAGTGTACCTAACAAATGTCTGAATAACTTTATAATTTAAAAATAATAACAAATATTGTAAAAAAAAATACATATTTATCACAAATAGATTTTTAAATTTATAAATTTAAGCAATTTTTCAGTCTGAATTAAATTATTTTAGTTTTTGGCAAATATTTTCAATAAAAAAAATTTTTACTTATCTAAGCTATCAAATAAAATATAATAATTACATAATTATATTATCTTATTGACTTAATCATATTAATATAAGAATTATTTTTTTAAAATATTTAACAAGAAAAATTGTGTGTAATGAATAGAGTTGGTAGCTGCAGACTAAAAATCCTGAAATATACCTAACCACTCACATTGAAATAATAAATTTATTACTAAATAAACATAATTTAATTTAATACTAAATTTTTAACGAATTGGTGAGATATCTAAATAAATATATCAATATATAAATATATCTAGGTAAATATATCAATTGAAATATACTCAAGAATAAAAATTAAACCTCAACTAATAGCATATTTATTTTATGTATAAGATATTAATTGAATTATTGCACAAACACTAACCAGATAAATAAAATACATATTAATTTTTAAAAAAATCTTAATGAAATTTCCCTTATTTGTTTACTGTTATAAAGTGATAAATAAGCAATATAATCAATTGTGAGAGGAGGCATCTGCTGTAAACATATAAAAATAAATAGCATGCACATGCTACATGTAAAAAATCTGCCCACAATGGAAATCAAAAAATTAACAACACTAAAAATAAAACTCTATGGTACTCATATGGCTATTTTTTTTTTTTTTTTTCTGTTGTTCTCTTTGTCATCTGCAGTTCATTCAAGTTTCTCAACCCCCACATGATGAGTACCAAACTAATCTAATTTCTGAATAATCTTAAATTTTATTGAGTATTTAAAAAAAAAGTGAAATATACTTTAAAATTATAAACAGTAATTTTATCAATATTTTCTATGAAAAAATAATTGAACTTTTGTTGTATCTCATATGTAAGTAAATATATAAAAATAGGACTAAGGTCAACAAATAATAGCATAATGTTATACAAGTATTAATGTACAATAAATTTATTTTTTTAATTATTTATTTAATATTATCTAAGAAAATTTGTTTGTGTGATGAGGGGGTATTCCCGCTGCAGTCTGGAGATTCTGAAATTTCCCATCACCTCCCACATTCAAATACAAAATTTATTACTAAATAATTATAATTTAATAAAATAATAATAATAATGTTTAATCATTTAATGAATTGATGAAAATAAATTAATTGAATCATTTTCTAAATACTGACCAGACATGACCATAAAAACTTAATGAATTGATGTTTTGATAAAATCTGAATGAATTTTAATTAAAATATGGTAATTTTTAAATATAACAATTTCGAAAGTTAATCTAATGAATAGTGAGAGGCAATAGCAGCGAGGAACATATCAAAATAAACAACATTTCACATCTACTGCACAAAATGCACCATGAACTTAGTCAGGGAAAGGCAAGTTGGGGTAGCTGACCATCTCCCAGGTAATGACGTAGAAAACATAAATAGCAACAAATAAATAAATAAATAAATAATAAGGCTTAGCGAACCCGAAGGTTCGATGCCGACACCACCAATCGCTTGTTACACACCTCCCTCCACCGTTCGCCATCCAAACCCAGTCCCTTCAGATCGGCTTTAATGCAATCTTCCCACCTTCGCTTCGGTCTACCCCTCGGACGCTTACCATTCGGCAAAAAACAATTTCGAATATAGCAAATATAAGAAATAGCAAATATAAGAAAATAGCAACTATAAGAAATAGCAACAAATATAATCCTAAATTTATGGAAAACTGATAGACAGTGACAGGTTGATTTTGTATTTCAACATTTTAAAAGAAACTAATTAAGAAAAAAAGGACACCCTCCTCTTGAAATAAATTAAATTTCAATTTGCCCCTAATTTAAAAGGAAATTTGACCCCTCTTCCATTTTGAGGCATTTTTTTTTTTTTTTGCTAAGTTCTTGCCTGCTATATACATCCATTTAACACAACAATTACCAGGTTTGTAAAGATGGAACTGAAATTTGGCAGTTAACATAGTTACCGTATAACAACATTATTGGAACCATCTTTTCAAAGATGTTAAGAGGCATCTGTTCAAAATGACATGAGCCGAACTGGCATACTTGGCCAGAAGGAAAAGTGATTGCTGCAAAAAGAGCAAAATGGAACGCACTTGTAAATTCTCTATGCTCGGGTAGGAGTCAACGGTGATAATAATAAATAACACACAGAAAAACCAGTGGGAGAAATAATTAAGGCGTTCAGATGGGAAATATTAACGCCTGGGGCTTATTCCCCAAACTTAACTCCGTCAAAATACTATTTATTTGCATCGATGGGGCACAACCTTGTGAAGTAATGCTTCAATTCTTATGAAATATGCAAAATGGCAAGATGACTGGTTCACCACAATACAGAAAGTTATTATTGCAAGGAAATCTTAAATTGACAGAG